GTCAACCATATTAAGTCTTTTTGTAGCCTATTAATTTAAGAAATTAATAGGCTACATTAATAGGCTACATTGCTAGGCCTCCTTTTAAAAGTAATCCAGCTACGTCAAAGTTGGGTCAGTATGCTCCATTAAACAGAGCGATGAGGAGTTACAATCTCATTCACAACTCCATTCAAACTGAAACTCCAGTGAAACTGAAAAAGGATCCTCTCAGCTAGATATTTTTTCAAACTCCTTAACACAATTTAAAACATTCGCAGCTCTCGTAATAACAGAATAATTCGATTATTATGTACGATAGGTAATTTTAAATTAAAGTATGTGTGAGCGTTATTTTATTTTTACATTCAATTTTTAATTTTGACTTATACTATAAATTTTTATTTTAATGACATTTCGACTTGTATAAATTTTAATCATTGAGCTATTATGTACTACGTACTAGAGGCGACACTGCATTCAGCTAGTCTGTTCCACTCAACTGCGGTGCATACACCGCACTTTAATCAGTCACTCGCTAGGCGCTTGTAGAGTTGTCATGTGTTGTATTGATTTAAAGAAAAGTCTCTTGAAAAAATATGCCGTCGTGACTACTTAGATATTGTACAAATAATTCAAGAAATTTCAGTAAAAACCAAGGAATTACTTTCCATCGGTTAATAAGATACTTAATCAATAAAAAAAGTATTATGGATTAATAATAAAACAAATTATTCCTAAGACACCATCTCGTGTCATGGAATATAGATTATGAAATTAATATGTTCAGATGCGACATTTCTGTGGGTACTTATGTATAGGACGAATATATTTTTATACGTATTTTTTTTTTTGTTGAAATATATACAAGTTATTATAATTAGGCTAAATTTTTCATGTTTGAATCTGCTTATTATTCTTTTATTTTATTTTTAGGTTTCCACATCAAAGTCAAAGTGGAATAAATTCGTCGATTTTTAACACTCACGTGCCCAGCATTTAATGAACGACTCTTATTCTAATTTAAATAAATATATTTGTAATTTAAATTTTATGTTAATAAGTTTTGCAGGAAGTCGATGGATGCAGGTGGCTCAGGACCGTGCTTTGTGGCATTACTTGGGGGATGCCTATGTTCAGCAGTGGACTTGTGAAGGGGCTGTAATGATGATGATGATGATGTTAATAAGTTTTGTTAAACATACATTTAGTATGTTTTTTATATATTTGACATAGATACCTTTTAAAATATACAGATAAAAATATCATTAAAATAAAATTGTGATATAATATTATGTAATATTATCTTAAATAAGCAAATATAATATACAAAATAAATGACAAATTTAAATATTGTTCTCGATATAATTTACCTATTTAACAATACAATCTACTATTACCTACGGGTCATTCTACCTATGTTTATTCTATGATAAAAAAACCAACCGCGCGAACACAGAGTAGCGCACATTTTTTGTTTTAGATAGCTGTTCTAGTACGTAAGTACATATTACTTCAATGATTTTAATTGATGTTTTTATCTTTATTAGTTTTTAAATAATATATTGTTCTTGACATAGTTAAACGTAATGCACTGATAAAATTTTATTATTGTTTTTGTTAATAGTATTAATAAGTTAATTAATTGTATAATAACTTCCTTATTATAATGCATACATTTTAAAATAAATAAATTAAATTGCTTCTCAACATAAGTTAATGTAGAGACTTTAAGAGAATTTTGGTTTGCGCCTATAATTGAAGTAGTACTTTGTATTTTTTTTTATCTTTTTTGTTTTTCTGATATTTAGCATGTAATAGTGTGTACTTCGTTGGTGCAATAAATAATTAATAAATAAATAAATAAATTTCGCCCGATAACAACCTCAAAATCCGACATTTTAAAATTTTCTCCAGTTATTTTGGTCTTTCGATCTGGCATTCTTACCCGTACGTAATAACACACTATAAGAGTATCCTTATATTTTCTCTACTTGTTTGACCTTGGACTTCACTATCCAAAGTCATGGTCGAAAGAAATTTCCATACTAAAAAGTTGAAAAATTTAACAAAACGTAAGCTCAATGTAAGGCCACATATTTCTAAAGTAACAAATCCTATGTAACCGAAACCCACGGGTTTGACGTTTTTGCCAGTTATGTAATGTCAGTGCTTCAGCAATGAGGTCATTACATCACTCGGTCAGTACTTGGATATTCGCCAACAGCCGTCCTGAATCATGTCATTGTTTACATGTATTTGTACACCTCACTTGTCTCGTAATTTATAAATGTATTTTACTAATTTTAAATCCTAAAAAATTTAAAATAAATAAATTTCAAATCCTTTCTATTCTTATTTTAGAATAAGAATGGAAATTAATCATTTTTATTCAATATAGATAAAAAAATCTTATTAAAAGTCATTTTTTACATTTACCACCGGTTCGAAAAAAAAACTAATGTCGTAGAAAGAACCAGCAATAAACACAGCGGGAATTTTTTCTAAGTAAAATTATATAAAAAAACACTGGCTTCACAAACTACTAACAAACTTATTTAAGAAACAGCTTGAAAGCAATTACCTCATTTCTAGGGATTATTATCAACGATGTATCAATTCATATTATAGCAAACCTTTTAGTAATATTTTCGTTCCACGCTCGAGCTCACACTCACGCACACATGCTCGCACGCATGCACACACGCACGCTCGCACGCACTCACGCACGCACGCACGCACGCATTCACACAAACATACACACACACACACACACACACACACGCACGCACGCACACGCACGCACGCACGCACGAACGCACGCACGCACGCACGTACGCACGCACGCACGCACGCACGCGCAGGTACGCACGCACGCACGCACGCACGCACGCGCGCTCGCACACAAGCTTTCACTTCAATAAATTGGAATCCATCAACGCATTTGAGGTTAAAGACATTTATTTATCATATAAGAACAATATACAATTCGCTTTAAGTTGGTAAATAGGAAATACTTAACAATTAACAAGTATAAAAAATCTACGGTCCAAAAGAAGTAAAAATTAGGATAAGTAATTCAAGAGGTGGTTCATATCATTAGGCAGCTTATTGTAGAGTAACAACCCTCAAACTTAATGCGTGTGTATTTTGACTACAATACTTTTTTTAGAAACAGTAATACTAATAAATATATATATACTAACATCATGTACTATATATATATATATATATATATATATATATATATATATATATATATATATATATATATATAAAGTTTACTTATGTTAAGTAGTTAAATATTTTTATAGATTTTATATATGTCATAAGAAGCGAATATTGGAAATGAATGTGAATATAATGGCTTCCGATATGTGGCAGTATAATCATCTTTTGTGAAACATGACGTAGAATATCCAGACCGACGTAGTGCAGCATCATCTTTTCCGGCCGCCAAGATTGATTATTAAAACAATGTCCCCCTAGATTTTGAGAAGCAACACCATACAAACGTTTGCTTTAACATCTGGCGTTATTTGTGGGCTTGTTGAGGTTATCGACCGAACTTTTCGCCTTCATTGGCCCTCGTCTGCTGAACACGGGCTTCTATTTCGTGAAGATTTTTCAAATTCGTTACGGTTGTTGAATAACAAGACTTACACATTTTACGCTGCTCCCCGTCAAACTTTCGTGCATTTTAAACAGTGTAAATGAGATGATATATCGCCATAACGGAAGCCATATTTCTCTGACACTACCAATTATCGTCTATTATAACACTTATGTGACAAAATGGGCTGACGTATTTTCTTACTACCACCTTTCCACCACCACACTATTTTCGATTGTCTTAAGATGATTAAATCTCGAAAAGACGATCTTATATTTTATTTCACAAGACAACACAGGGTAAGCCACACTGCAATATATCTGCAGCATAAATAGGTCGGCTCGTACGGAGAAGAACTACGCTAGATCAGAATACCAGCGTGAAGAAACTATGAATGCTGAGTAGAGAAACCAAAGACCTTCTATATTGGTAATAATTCATTCCAAGACGACGACGAAGAAGTGACAATATACCCGCATTTTGATTCTTAATCGAGAATAGATGTAGGTGACTATAGACCATATCATTCACTTACCACCAGATGGACTCTAAGCTTGTTAGTCTCCTTAATTCTATATAAAATTAGTCCATCGCCCAGCTCGAGAGCGTATCGAAAGACTTCGCATGCCTTCAAATTCTTTTTTAAAAAAAATTTAAAAAATGAGCGCTCGGGGGATCCCCGTCAGAAACACACACACACACATATAACGGTATATGAATATACGGTACGGTACGGTACGGTAGTACGGTACGCTATATGTATATGTCGGTACCTGCGCCATTGCACGTGCACGTGCAATGGCTAGTCGGAATTATTGTAAACGACACGTGCACCGCACACCTGCGCATTGCACCTGCAGTGGTACTCGGGTAGCTACTTGTCTCGATTGTATAAAACGGACGGAGTGGCCGCCGTTAAGGCAGTCTTGGCGCTGGCTGACTGCCTATTCGGATAATTAATTCGTGGAAACGAATTAATTATTATTATCTGCTATAAAATTCGTTTTAGTACAATTTATAGTTGATTACCTGTGATCCGTGCATTTTGTGATTGTAAATTAATTCTATTTAACTACCTTCCTACATATATAACCGATGATGAAAGAGAAAGAGAGGGAAAGATCGTCTGAAGGAGACATAACGCTTTTACCTTTCTACCAGTTCACACTACGGTAATCCGCGTAAAACGACCTCATTCCAAAAACCCTGGCTTTCATGCTGGTACTCCCCAGGATTGAGATTTTTCTGAACCACTCATAAATGTAAAAAATTACTTTCAATTAGTATTTAAAACATTTATGTTCAATAAAAATTACTCGCTATTCTATTCTATAACTAGTTTTGAATGGAGCGAGTTATTAAAATGCCCAAAATAAGTTCTCAACGATCTTTCTTGATCTCACTTATATTATATTTTCATCCTCACCTGCGTGTTCCTAGTGAAGCCGTAGCCAAGGAAACGCTCGTCGTGCGCCGGTACCGTATCGGGCGCCACGTAGAACGGCTCGTAGAGAAGTTCAAAGTTGGTCACGTTGTGACTCACGTGCGTCTCCGTGCTCTCGTTACCGCCGCTCGCCTCCCATCTAACCGAACCGATAGTTACACATGAGAGGAACATTGTTTAAAATACCTTTAGTGTTTTGTCTCATATTATTTCGTCTTACGATACCTACGATAAGGTGTCGTAAGACGGAGGGAAACTGAAGCGGGAGATGGGCAGCAGCATCTCTCTGACAACAATTTATAATAATAGAAAAACTACGGTTGGAAATCCGCCTGCCAAACGTGGGAACTTTGGTAAAATCCCTTTTGTGAGACAATCAATTTTATACGTAGTAGAGCCATGCTGCAGTTATATTAGTAGTATAGTTGTAGCACGAATGGGCCGACTCGACCGGGAGGGACCACGCTCTCACAGAATACCAGCGTAAAATAATAGCTTAATGCTGCTGTGTTTCATATAGTGAGTGTAGAGAACCGCATGCTATTTTTACTAGAAATGAGGCATTTCGTCTTAGTCCTCACGGGTGATAATGCATCTGCATTGTGATTCGTAATCGAGGATAGATGTAGATGTCTATGGGCCACCGCGACCACTTATCAAATGGACTGTGTGCTCGTTTGTCGCGCTATCCAATAAAAAACAATCTATAGGGGGAAGCATATGTTCAGCAGTGGACATTTATAGGCTGTAAAGAATGGATAGAAGTAAATACAAAAAGTAACTAAGGCCTTCTTTGTCTTCATCATAACTTATCTTAGTCCTCTTTGTTAACGACTCATTAGCCTTTGATTCGTAATTGAGGAAAGATGTAGACTTCTATCCCTATGTGGTAGTGAAAGCTGGGTGTGGCAAAAGAAGCATGAAAGTGGAACAAATGCTGTGTGAGAAATTGTGTGATAAGAAAAAAAGGTAGTGTGCAAAATGATGATGTGACCAGGACTAAGAAAGGAATGCTTCGGTAGTTTGGTCATGTAGAAAGAATGAATGAGGAAACAGTGACAAAGCAACTAAAGTTTGTCGACCGAATTGGAGATATTTTGAAAATGGGTAACATTAGGATTTAACCGACGTAACCGACTTAACCGACGAGCGTGTATGCGTAGGTATATGGATGTAAAGGAGGCGAGAGAGGTATGTCAGGATCGTGGCAGATGGAAGTCTGTAATTTCTGCCTACCCCTCTGGGTGACCGGCGTGAGTGATTATGTATGTTATTATGAATAAATTAAAAATTAATAGTAAAGTTTACACTGAAAAACTCTTCCATAGTGGGTGTTGACGAATTGTCCCTGGCAAGCGATTACTTTGTTCTTCGCCGCGTTACGAATATATTTTGATCTATTTAATTTTAATTGACTGTCTCATTGGTCTAGTGGCCGTAAACACGACTTCTGATCAAGAAGTTGAAGGTTCTAATCTCGGGTCGCGCCAACAAAAATCAGTTATTAAGTTTTTCCGTCAAGGAATTCAATACACCGGTGTCAGGTGTTTCACTCCCGTGCTTCCGAAAGCAAGTAATATTACATAGCAATAGCCGTTGGTCCTGATCTCTCTCCCTGATCGTGTCGGATTGCCGTCTACATCGGACTACGAGAGTGAGTGAATAGAGAGTGCACCTGTGCTTTGCGCATACACTCGGTCACTATAATCCTGTCTGCGCAGATGGCTAATCTACATTGAGATTATAATATTTCGATCAATGAAATTGACTCGTATATAATAGACAGCAAAAATTAAATCTATTCTCTTTCAAATATCGAAAAATCTTCAAAACTTTTGAGTTGAGCTTCTAACTTTAATCTATCTGTCAAAATATCTGTATTGTTTACCTTTACATAAAAAATATTTTAATTATTAAATATATAATATCTTATTAAAAGTATATACCTACTAGAAACAAAATTATAATCAAACCTAATATTTTAGTTTTTTATAGAATAAAGGTGACAAAGGAGCACAAGTGCACCTTATAAGTGGATGCTGTGGCCCGTAGACGTCTACACCTATCTTCGATTAAGAATGAGCTGAATAATAAAAAATATTATATTGCCATGTAGTGGCGGCCATAAAAGATTCACTATCATCACAGAATATCATCCCGTGGGTGTCGTAAGAGGCGACAGAGAGAAACTCAATAATAACTCATAATAAAAAACTGCGATTTCCAAGCGGTCTGTTAAGTGCTACGTTATGCAATTAATCCCCCAATGAGACACGCTATAGAAGAGGCCTATATTATACAGTGCACTTTGATTGGGTTTGTCGACATAATATTTTATTTTCTATGACAGATTCACAGAAAATTAGATATTATGACCATAGAGCAACACAGGCCATCGGCTTAAAGGAGGGAAGTAACCGCGTAGCGTAGCGTAGCGGCCTTTAAGCAAGCGTTTTTCCGCGGTTTTTCCCCTGTCTTTTGTGTGCGCAGATTTAACAACTAGTCATTTTTGCGGGGGAAATCTGCGCACACTAAAGACATTTAGTTATTCATCATCATCATCATCATCATCATTACAGCCCTTCACAAGTCCACTGCTGAACATAGGCCTCCCCCAAGTAATGCCACAAAGCACGGTCCTGAGCCACCTGCATCCATCGACTTCCTGCATGTCTTACCAGGTCGTCACTCCATCTAGTGGGGGGTCGCCCTACACTACGCCTACCGGTACGAGGCTACCACTCGAGAACCTTTCTTCCCCATCGGTTATCGGTTCTTCGAGCTATATGGCCGGCCCATTGCCACTTCAGCTTACTAATCTTTAGTTATTAGTAATATTTAAATCTCTTTGACGCACACATAAGCAATCGTCTGTCACTACGAAACTCACACATAATAATTAGAACATTATCCTACCAATTTCACACACACACACATAGATACATTATAACACGATTGCAATCACGTGTCACTATTGTGACAGCTATCTGACACGCTCAACTTATCTGAATATATGTATCTCTTTTTGTTGCAAAAAAAAAACTGAGTAATTTGGCATTTTTGACGTTATGTTCCGAAACAGGCTTATAATTAGATATAATGATTTTTAATTAATAAAAAGGATGAAAATTACCTAGAGAAATTTGAAGCGTATTGGTTATATATGAACACTTTTCTATGAAATGGTATCGCCAACTTATTCCTAGATAGTCTTAACAGCTCAGATTTATTTGATGGAAATATTGCCACTCTTCTGTCGAGCTCGTATGTTGGCACTACATATGCACAAAAAGGACATTTTGGGGCCTTGGCAAGAAACTTATCCAGAGACTCCGCCATGCCTTTCGAAGGTACAATATCTATGTCTACTAGAAACACATATGGTGTGTGACAGTTCCTTCTAGCCAGATTTCTTAAATGATTCTGAGGATAAGGATGTCGAGCTCTCCAAGCCACCGTATCCGCTCGTCTTTCCCCCGGCGGTAATGGTTTCGCGTCACAATCCCTTGCCCAGTTTGGCACTGTTCCGTGTGTCCCAGGTCTTTCTACCGATGTGGCTGCATGTAGCGCCAATCTAGAGTATGTTTCGGGCTGACATCGAAACAGCCACGTCGCGAAGGCTCTTAAGAGTCTTAGTTCGTCTCCAGCAACAAATACCGCTACGGATATCGGACCGGTCCAATGCGCTGCTATTCTTAGTAATTCGTGTAGTCTCTCTATTGAGCTTTGTGTAGCCAAGCAAACATGTCTATTCGCTGATACTTCCGCATACATATCTCCAACGGTAGCGTAGTCAAACATCCTGTAAGAACGTGATGCATCCCACCGGCCAAGACGAAGATCTAGTCTAGCTATGGGATCATCGTCAACTGCAGTATTCGCTGCTGTGTCCACACATGGTTCACAAGTCGGTGGTTCGGTTGGTGGTGAAGTGGTATGCACTGGACACGACTGCGGATGCAATAACCAAATATTTGCAGCCGCGTTGTATAAAACTAACACAATGGCTGTGATGGTCACGATACTCCACTGGCAGCGCCAACGCCACTGTAAATTTTTACAAAAAAAAATTTAGTAATCCTGTTACAAAGATATAGCAATTAGAAAATTAATAATTTTAATTAAATGAACCTACGAGCTTATCTCTCCGTATCTTCGCCATGGGTCCTTGCACGTATACCTTTTGACATTAGATTCAACCTCAATCATCTACCTCTGTACGTCATTTTAAATTCAATTTACTGTCAGCAAAGTTCGCAGTGTTCTATCTAAAAATTTAAACACATTTAATCCGTTAAATTTATTTTATTTAACTGTTTTGGTAATAATTAAAATTATAATGATAATAAAAGTATATAATAATTAATATATAGTTGTTTATTTTCAATTACATTTTCACACGGTGTATTCGAGTTTTAAATAGAGAACAAAAATTAGAGTAATATTCGAATACAAATTCCAACGCAACACAACAGAAACTCGCAATATCAAACTTGGGAGACGATGCGACTAACGAATGCACTGTGCGTATTTTTGGCTTAATCGCTTACATGGAGGAAACTTCGACTTCAAGAATGTACGACAAGGAAGACCAAATACTGGTAAGATAACGAGTTAAAAGCCGAACAAAGAAATTAGCGTCATGGTTTGACGTTAGTTGCACCTTAATATTAAGTACCTTATACGAAATTGATATAATAAAAAAACTCAAGAAATGGATGTCTCACGAAATAACTAATGTGCATAGAAGAGTTTGTCTTGCTTCAATGAGTAAGTACAGAAATAAAGAGATTTGGGACTTAATTGTAACTTGTGATGTTTTACTGTCCATCGAAATGAGTAAATCTAACGAATAAATTCCGGATTAACACGCAATAAGGTGATACTGTGTGTATGGTGGGATTGGAAGTGCACCGTTTATTATGAGCTTTTACCGCCGGGCAAAACCATCGACTCGGATCTCTACTGCCAACAACTAATGAGACTCAAGCAGGAAGTTGAGAAATAATAAGAGGAGTAGTCTTTCATCATGATAACGCCAAACCATGCACATCTTTGGCAACTAAGCATAATTAAGAGAGTTTGGTTGGGAAATGTTAATATATTCACCTTATATTCCTGACCTTGCACCCTGATTTTCACCTGTTCCGGTCTCTTCAGAATTCTTTGGTTAATGTTAGGTTAACGTCAATAGAGGACTGTCAAAATTTCTTGTCGCATTTTATGATCAAAAATCCCAAGGGTTTCTAGAGCAATGGGATTATGTCACTTCTACAAGATGGCAACAAGTTATCGGACAATCAGCACTTATATATTATAATTTCATATAATTAAAATTTTTTTAAATATCTTGAATATGTATATAAAGTATGAAGACGTTTGCCCCGACCTTATATGTATATACTAAAGTGTATAGCGTATAATATCAAATATACTATAGTATACACTTATATAGTAGAGTTCTATAGTAAATGATGTTAAGACCGTTTTTACGTAAAATTGATGGATTTTTATTTTTTGTATCTTAAACCATCTATCTTTAACTATTTTTTTTCTATCACGGACATGGTTTTCGAGATAATGACAAAAACTGTGATTAAAGCAGATTTTTCTATAATTGAACAATTTGCCTAAAGGTCACTATTACTACATAACATAGCTACACTTTTCTTGTTTACGTTCTACGCAAACGAAGTCGCAGGTAAAAGCTAGTTGAATATAACATAAAAATGATTTTTGAAACTAACTAATAACAACCGTTAATAAATACAAAGCAGTTATGATCGTTAACGCCCTTTTTAAAATTATTGTTAAAATTAGTCTTACCTATTATTTTATTTCCAAAATTACTTGATCTTTAAACAACACCCAGAATGAAAATAATGAAATGCACTATTTACACTACTATTTCTAACAGATATATAATTTGAATTAATCATACAGATAGGTATAACTACCTACGCTTTATTGTGCTCGTCATCCTGCTGCTTTCAATATCACTCATTAATAATTAAAAACAACTGCATAGGAATTTTGGAGGTTATACAACAGAAGTGTTTTATAGAATTTCAATTGAAACATACGTGAAAACAATTAATATATACGTTAAACTTAAGGTTACATAATGTGTATGTTTGCTAGTTTTTTAACAATATTATTTAAAATAATTATTATTTAACAATATTATTATTTTATCCAACATTATCAATAAAAACAGATGGGTGTTGAAAGTGTACTTTCGTCACGCATGCCCGTAACCCTGACATGCGCAATATAGCCCAGTCTCACATTTTCATTATGAAAATAGTAGGTACCTTAAATAAATTTTATAAAACTTAATGTAAAATATGTGACAAATAACGAAATAACTATATCAAAAAGGAGTAACCACAAGGGTGAAAGATGTTTCGTCAAAATAAATAGATTTGTTAAAAGCTTCAAACAGATCTCATGTACATCATTTCACTTTAATAAATTTACTACATAATAAAATTTAAAAAAAAATAATAAACACAACCTTTTTTTTCTACATAAAATGTGGATTCCGATTGGGATTCAAAACTAAGAACCTAGCGTAGTAGCCATGTGATTTAACTGCTAAGCAACTCGGTTTTCACAGTCATCTAAAGATTATCGATGACGATTTTGTTACCCCCTAATAAATTAACTGCGTAAGTACGCATCCTTTTTACGTAAACTATTTTATATGTTATGTACATCTTTACAGTCAATGAAATATACTTATATTTTGTTGTACAAAGTACTAGAAAATATTATGCGAGTGTATGTTCACAATTATTTTTTTATTTAACAAAGACTATTATGAAAGGGTTAATAAATTTGTATGATAAAATATTTATGAATACCTACCTATGTACGTGGTTGATAATATGCCCTGGAAATGAGGTGAGTGTAGCAACAGCTGTTTCTAAAAAGTTTTGCCAATGAATTCTTTTTTTTTTACACAGAATAAGGGTTACAAACACACAGTCCACTTGATGGTAAATGGATACTGTGTCCCATCGACATCTACGTCTGTCCTCGGTTAAGAATTAAAATGCAGACCCCTGAGGACTAAGATAGATTGCTTCATTTCCAGTAAAACGGTTTCCAATTCTCTGCACTCAACACACGAAACATAGCATTAAGCTACTATTTTACGCTGGTATTTTCTAAGAGCGTATTCCTTCCCCAGTTGAGTCGACCCATCGGTGCTACCACCACAATATAGCTGTAGCATAGCTCTACCATGTATAAAACAGTTCATTGTAAAGGGGTACATCATTAACTACATCTACTATGCCATTATAATGTTCCGAACCTGTGGTAAAAGTAAGAAAAAAGAAGTAAAGTAGTAGTAGTAGTAATATAGTAAGTAAATAAAATAATTTCAGTAAGTTGATATTATTTTTAATCTGTGTTAAATTAAAGTTATTCTATATATCATACAATTGTATTCCATCTATCCATCTTTACAGAATCCATCCATTACCATATTTTGCCATAGTTGCCACGCTTGGCATGCTGGTTGGCAACAGCATTTATTTGGTTGCTATCATCAGAAACATGCTGTTGCCCATCTTTTGTTTTAATTGTCTAGTGACGCCTCTTATGACAACCACCCCATGGGGTAGTGGAAATTCTTACAACCCTACTACACGGTTATTTTCCTATTCATATTACATTTTTTGGAACAGATCGCAATGCCAGGAGTAAACGGAAAACTTGCCAATCTCACTTGCAGTAAGGTGTGTCCGGCACTTACTGTGTCATTAATGGACGAGGATCTAGGAATTAACAACTCAAAGCAAATCATTAACTCTGCACTCACCAATCCTATCTCACGTTGTAAGCAAGGGCAACAATTTCAAGTAATGTATGCCAGTGTTGAATCGTGCGGTAAATAATGGGTTCATAAGTGTTCTGTAGCCCTACCTATAAGAAACTATAGTAAAACCCAGTTCAGCAGTCAGTTTAAGCAACAGAATAACTCATCCTTGGCCCTCACATTTTCACGCCCTTAATATTGTCGGCATTGTGCAAAATATTACAATTTCACTTTTATATTTATTTTTATTTATCTTAATAAAATATTGCATTTTGCCATAGGCAACATAGGTTTTTTTATAGAAGAGGGGGCAAACGAGCATGCGACTCACCTGATGGTAAATGACTACCGCCGCCCATGAACCACCGCAACACCAGGGGAATTGCAGGTGCGTTGCCGGCCTTTTAGAAAGGGGTAAGCTCTTTTCTTGAAGTTTGTATCGGACCGGAAAAGTCGCCGGTGGTAAACAATTCCACAAAGAAGTTGTACGTGGAAGAAAACTCCTAGTGAAACGCACAGTGGTGGACCGCTAAGCATCCAGATTGTGAGGATGGTATCGTGAATTTTGACGCGATGTGCGTGTTCGTGAAATTTGACGGCTGAAACTAATCCGATTCAACTAATAGTAATAATTTAATTAATAACAATTCTTCAGAACACCCCGTGGTAGATGAAAAACGCAAAGGGATGCAATATCCCTATACAGCGCCGGTAAATCGAGTCGATCAGAAAGAACTCGGTCGTCAATGATTCGAACCGCTCTGCGCTGGATGCGGTCAAGTGGAAGGAGCTGACACTGGGGTGCCCCGGCCATGAAATGAGAACAGTATTTCATGTGAGGACAAACTTGCGCTTTGTAAAGTTGCAAGCGATGTGCCGGCATAAAATACTTACATTATAAATGACCACGAAACTGCACGCTATTCGATATGTTGACTCTGAGGATTTCGATGCTAGCTGAGGCAGCAAGGGTATTGCCTCGAAACTGAAATACGACAAATGGGTTCTTTTTAGCGGTAATCGCGCAAAATTATGTCTTCTGGGGATTGAATTGGATTAGATTTAGTCGCCGCCAATCCGAAACGTTATTCAGCAAAGACTCGACTTTTGACACATTTCTGTACCGGTACTCAGTGCATAAGGCATCACCAGTGCGGTCGTTTGCTTAGCATAGGTATAAAATAAAAAAGAATAGTGTTTTTCGCTTGTAGTAATAATAGAGTTTTGGAGGCAACTTAATTGTCGACGAATTGTTCTCCTGTTTTATAGTTTAAATAATGATTGTTATTTAAACGACATGTAAAAGTAATTAATATGTAAATGTGATTTGATTTTGTGTAAGTATCTGCGTATGTGAACTATTAGGAAAACGAAGAAACAAGTGCTTCCATGTTGATATAAACCTAAGTTATTTTGATCGATGAATAATGGTTCGAAGTGGATTTTAATTCGTAAAAGTGATGTGATTTTGTACATTAATTGTCTGCGCGTGTGTACTATTACAGAAAACGACTAAACAAGTGCTTTAATATAGATATAAACCTCAAGTTATTTTGATCGCTTAGACGCCTTATGAACTTGAGTGGCTGTCGTCATCAAATCTCCGCTGGGTTGAGCTGTCGTCAAAATCTCCCAAGGACTTCGCAATGTGACGCATCAGCATATTGTGAAGAAAAGCAAAAAAGCGCGGGAACCTTGAAGACTGATAAATCTAAATGAATTGAAACTTATAAAAAATTATAATATAAAGACTTGGCTTTAGCCTTTGTAGTTTTTGAAAACATAAAGAATTAAAGAAAGGAGACTTGGCTTCAGCCTTTATGAATTTTGAAGAGACATGAAGAAGAAAAATAAGACTTGGTTCCGGCCTTTACACTTCAGAATTCTATATATTCAAATTAAAAAAAGACAAGGCTGTATGGCTTAGTTCCTTTGCCTGCCTCTTTCGAGCGAATAATAAAACAACATCAACAATCGTGATGACAAATGACAGTGTCAGATGTCAGTGTGTATTTGGCAAATAGCACGTTTTATTATTTTGAAAAAATTAATTCATTTTAGAAGAGTAAAAAACCAAAAAAAGTAGACCATCATAACTGAAAATAAAATAAAAATGTTTACAATACCAGACTGGGGAGAAGATATTCCCAAGACTAATGTTAACTTTGTAAAAGATCTTAAGAAAAAAAAGGTAAGTGATCACCATATTTTGCCAGTTGCCAGTCTCAGGTAACAATATATCTGATAATTGATAGAATCAGGCGTTACTTTGCGGAAATCCATTATAATAAAAAATAAAAATATAAATTTCCTCGCAACCTTCCGCTAAACAAATACAATGATGTGTCTTACCTGGATTGTTAGCGGTCAGCCGCCGTAGAGTCTACATTACCTGAAGATGCCTCGTGTAGAGGCGAAACACGTGTCGTATTATCATCGATGGTGTGTCTTGCCTGGAATAGTGGTGTTGGGAGTAGTGGTGCTGGGACTAGTGGTGACGGAGTTAGTGCATGCAATTGAGGGAGGGCGGGAGGTGCTCTTCAATCCAGGTAAGACACATCATTGTATTTGTTTAGCGGAAGGTTGCGAGGAAATTTATATTTTCATTTTTTAACAATATATCTGCTGATTAGTAATTTTTGCGTGCTTATCTATTAAAACTAGGTGCCTCTTTGTACTAAGACGGAACACCTCACATACTATTATTTATTATATAAACATTCCATACTTCAAACAGGAAAGCAACTGTAAACGCTCGGATGATTAACGGGATAAGTACATATTAATCATTAATAATCGCAGATATATCACAGATATTTCAGAATACTGTGCACATTATTTTCAGTTTTAAACAATCCGTTTGTCCCTGAATATCTGAAATGTAAATTTCAGTATCAGGGTGATTCATACAAACGCTGTCTCTATTCTGCTGAAAAGTCTAATCTCCATGTCCCTCTCTGGCACGCTAGCTTCTTGTATAAATCTTTTACTTCTCATGCAGTAAGATTGTGGAACAAACTACCGAGCAGTGTATGTGCAGCCACGAGCAAGGCATCGTTCAAAAGCTTGCTCTGGAATCATTTTCTGGCATTGCAGGAGTAGTTTGTGGATTAACATTTTATTTTGTATCCTTAAATTCTAACTGTTCACTTCTTATTTCAATGAATCAGACATATATATATGTATGTACTATCTATCATATAATCATATATATATATATATATATATATATATATATATATATATATATATATATATATATATATATATTATATATATATCTATATAATATAGTATATGTGTAATTATGTTTATATTATGTATTGTTATGTAATGTGTATGACTACTGACAGGTATTTTGACTCAGTTGCACTTTGCACCCACAATTAAGCATGGACGTTTTCATTTTTTAGCTACAACGGTTACATAACCAATATTTAGTTTTCATATTGTTATTGAAAACCGTTTTCAGATATCGATATCAGTAGTAACGGTTTACTACTAAATGAGCAAATGACAACCGAAACTTAATCGCAAATTGTAGAACCAGTGCAATATTTATTTATTTATACAGTCGAAGCTTTTTATGGAAAGTCTTTGAAATTCTGATTTCTGATCCGTATCCTTTTTGTCTGATGAAAAGTGGTAGGGGTAAAAACTACGTACTATACTGGTTCATTCGGTTGATCATTCCATAGATAATGATCATTCAAATCGCGAACGCAGGCCATTACATACCATAAAGTATATATTAATATAATAATAATTACAAGATTACAACAGTCTTTTGTACAAATACTAATCATATAAATATTAATTTTATCTAAGTTAGAAAGGTTCTCGAGTGGCAGCCTCGTACCGGTAGGCGTAGTGTAGGGCGACCCCCTACTAGATGGAGTGACGACCTGGTAAGACATGCAGGAAGTCGATGGATGCAGGTGGCTCAGGACCGTGCTTTGTGGCGTTACTTGGGGGAGGCCTATGTTCAGCAGTGGACTTGTGAAGCTGTAATGATGATCTAAGTTAGTTACCAAGGTACACATATTTTTTTTAGAAATTTCAGCATTTCAGTAATACCGCCATCTACTACATTCTATAGGTAAAGTTATGTTATCGAACAAATTGATTGGCTCTCAAAGTGGTACATAGAGTAGATGCTAGATGGTATTAACCCAAAAAAATTATATTCTCTTATTATTTTTTAAAAACGTACCACGCAAGGGTTTTCTCCTTCATCGTGGGGACAGTTTACAAACATAAATCGTACAAGGACAAATGTCCTGACCCGGAACAATTATTTGTAGGCCATACAAATACTTGTACCGTGCGGGATTCGAATCCGCGGTTTTATCATCGTAATACAATTGCTTAGTAGCTGCACCATGGAACCGTCAAATTTTATAATTTAGTTTATTGATTAAAACTACTTTTACAGATTTTATCGCGTTTAATTTTAATTATTTTTATTTTTATTTCCCGACGTTTCGGGTCACGGGGGAACTGAGGTGACTGACGTCCCGATGTCATTGTTAAACCCGGAGTACCTTCAGCTTTTTTAATTATTGTTTATGGTCCGATCTATGCAAAATGAACTGACTATGTCCTGAGGTCTTGCAGTGGTATGCTTGGATTTAGTTTTAAATTTATTGATTATAGGGTCCCAAGCAGGTGGTAGTACCCAGCCTCCTTCTCTATTGAAATTAGGATGTTTTTTTTATTTCAATAGCCTCACGTATCATCCTTGGTAGGAAATTGGTGTTCTTTCGCGATTCTTTTGTGGTCTATCAAATCTGATGTAATGGTTGGGGCCATCTAGGATATGATCACAAACTGCAGACTTCCCGGAACGTTGATGCAGTTTATATTATATGTATGTTTATATTATTTATATAATATATAATAACATAAATAATGGACAATCACCTAATTAACAAACTAAACTGATAATATCTCTTCTTAAGATCGAAGAAGATGATGCACTGTGACACATATGTATGTATTTTAATGTACATAAATGAACAATGTACATAATCTATGCTTTTTAAAAGTCATTGATGAATAATTGAAATGTTTACCTGTAATACAAAAGTTTCATTTCTGTAGTGTGTGTTCTCGACACACACTGTATTTAGTCTTTATTAGAAAGATGTTGCTTCCTATCTCCTAATCTGTTATCTTCTGTCGCTCTTTAACGACAGCCACGGGATTATATGGGGTACTAGATATTCTTAGACTGTCACTACACAATACAATAAATTATATACAAATATATTATAAAATCTAAATTAACTTATACTATATTTTCGCTTTACCCATAATTGTCTGAATTAAAACTTATGTACAAAATGCCCACAAATATTGCAAATAAATGCACAAACGCAACATCAAAATATTAATAATATTGTAGATATTATTATCTTAGTGAATGACATGCTCCACCAAGGCCATGTGCGATTTGAAAAAAATCAAATTCTAAACTTTCCATCCAAAACATAAAAAAACATAAACATAAAGTTGCCTAAACCAAATATAATATGGTCATTTAACTTGACAACTCTCACAACTACACAAACTTAAAAATTAGGCAATTTTAACCATTTAAAATTCGACCTTATTGCTTTAGGTAATTATATCCACTATGTCCATTTTGCACCGTGTGTGAAAACTACCAAAACATCGCAACGAAATCCATATTCGCTTCATCTCTTTCTATACGTATTTATGACACCGTCGCAAGAACGGGAAACAACGAATATCAACGAAGTTCATCAGTTAGTTTGGTGGGCTGTGTTAGCATATCGTTATTGTTCCAGTTTTCGTTTTACGTTTCGTAACTTTCGTACGTTTTGGTTTTTTGGTTTTGGTAGGATATGTGATAACGGTTATATACTTAGGTGTATCGATATGATATGATATTTTGATAACATAACGTTATTAGTTATGTTTTGATATATCAGTCTCATGCCTACCCACAAAATCTTCTCTGCTTAGCCTGGAGGTAGACTGGTAGAGAATGCCTTGTTGTATTAAGTCCGCCTTTTTGTACTTGGTGTGCAAATAAATAAATAAGTATCCATCTAAAAATAATAAGTCTTTATATTTTACAACTTAGGAAATTATTTTATAAGCCTTACTAATAATATAATTGTAAAAATTAAATTTCTAGAAAAAGAACAAAAAAGGAGGACGAAGTGTCAAAGATACTAATTCAAATAGTATTAAGGTTAAAAATCAACCAACAGAACATAAAAAAATTAATAATAAAAATAATGAAACTAAACACAGTACTGAAAGACCTATGGCCAATGGACATACAACAGAAAAATACAAAAACAACATTAGTAAAAAGAAGAACAAACCTGCAAAAAAGCGCAAACAACCAGACCTTGATGTGGTAGCTGCAAAAAAGAAAAAAATGTCAGTATCTGAAGGAATGGATGTGCCAAATTTTGATGCAGATAAACCTGATGAAATGTTACTAAATGTAGGTAAGAAGAAACTAAATGATCAATTTAACAAAGATGACAGTGAAGAGTTACTATTTAGTACTCAAGAATCAACATATGAATTGAGCAATAAATTAAACAAATTTAACAATCATACCAATAAACTTCCAAACGGAAGTGCAAATTCAAACCATACAGAAACAAAATCAAAATTCAATAAAAAGAAAGAATTAATAAAGACTCTACTAGAGAAGGAAAACCACAGAAATCACATTAGTGTTAGTGGAAATCGATTGAGGGAAAGAATGTTAGAGAGGTTAAAAGGTAATCAAAATTACATTTATTATTGCAAACAGTGGTGGCTTAGCAGACAAATTATTTGTACATGTAGGAGGGGAGGGAAGGTTGTGTTTTATAGAAATCACCTTCAAAGTACTAAATTTAAACTTTTAATTTCCTTATCTTATTCCATGTCTTGTCTAAGTACCAGCCAGTCTCTCACCATCATATTTTTCATACCGCAGCAACTGATACCATCCTCACCATATGGATGCTTGGCAGGCCACCACTTTGCGTTTTACTAGGATTTTTCTTCCTCATACAACTTCCCTGTGGAATTGCTTACCACTGGCAAGTTTTCTGTACCGATACAACTTAGGAACCTTCAAGAAAAGAGCTTACTCCTTTCTAAAATGCCGGCAACGCACCTGCAATTCCCCTGGTGTTGCGGTTGTTCATAGGCGGTGATAGTCACTTACCAACAGGTGAGCCGCATACTCATTTGCACCCTCTTTTATAAAAAAAAACTGCAGTTTGTTAATATTTTGAGTTTTTATCACAAAGATGCTGCTGCCCATATGCTGTTTCATTTCCCTCTATCGTCTCTTGCAACACCCACTGTATGTTATGAAGTATTATAAGTATAGGGTTCGCTCCACAAATCAAATCACAATAAAAAATATTAAAACTTCATTTATTTACTTTAAGTAATAATAGTAAAAAAAACTTTATTAAGATAATTACATTCCTTTACAATAACTTTAAAATAAGCTAATTACAAATTTTAGGTTACTAACTTCGGTTTGTTACTGCCGGCTGTACTAGGCCGAGCTTGTATCACAGATGGCAGTTCCTCTTTCTATGACACGAAAGTATATATCACTAATTTTAGCAAATATTTAACTAAATAACAATAATAAAAAGAACATTAGAAAGTTAGTTTTATTTTAAAGTAACAATGATATTCAACATTTTTTTATAAGTACTGCTATAAAATATATATACAATAAACCCGCTATATATAGTTTGTAGAACCGACAACCGATTGTGAAGAAAGGTTTTTAAGTGGCAGCCCTGTACCGGTAAACAAATTGTATGGCAGTTAATATTGGATAGATTATTCTGAAATTTTAACCATGTAATAGTCATGTAAGAATATCTACTACACCTTATCGTTCTCCGGGTTTTGTAAGAGGCGACAGTGGGAAACTGAAATAGGAGATGGGGAGCAACATCTTCATAATAACCTTTTGAAAATAATAAAAAACTATAGTTGCCGGTTGTCTGTTTGCCAAGTAAGGCAAAGTGTAATTTCTCCTTATCTTTCAGCCACCATAACCATAACATTATTTTGGTATTTCAGCTGCACAATTTAGATACCTGAATGAAAAGCTGTACACATCATCCGGTTCGGAAGCACAAAAACTGTTTCAGACCGATCCCGTTGCATTCCAGACCTATCACCAGGGTTACCAGCAACAAGTTAAGAAGTGGCCAGTCAACCCACTTGATATCATCGTTAAGAGGATCATGAAGATGTAATTAGGTTTACATATTTACTACCCATTAACCCCTTACTGGCGGTGTAAGAATGTCCACTACCCATAAAGTACCATGGATGTACGCAACAGAGGGAAACGAACTAGAAGGAACAGGATTGGCAGCATCATCTTTCTAATAACAACCAAAAAATATGTAAACACTGCTGTTGCCGACCCGCCTGCTAAGCATGGCAAATATGGCAACAATCCCATAGAAGGCCAATGTTCAGCTGTGGGCTTTTGATAGATTGTAAAAGTGATCACATTTACTACCCATACTATTCTATATTAAAAAAAAGATGCTTTTTTTAACAGTATTAACCCATTCGCTATCCCGTGAATTACATATAATACATTGCTATTGTATTACTATTGTGCCTGAAAATCAGACAGTGAAAGTGTTAAGATTAATATCCAGAACTACATATTTGTATTCCATTAAGAGCGAGTACACCTTAGGCGTTATGAAGCAAGCACTTTGATAATGCGCGTTTTAAAAGCCATCTGGTCCTATACATCCATACACTTCCTAACACATGCGTTAGAATTTAGTTAGAGCTGGTACATACTGGACGCTCGGCGTTGCGTTTGGTGTGTGTTGATATCATACATATATTGCAGTAAGATAGTTATATTACTAAACTCGTGCTCGTATCATAGTTATATTCTTAGTAAGATAGTTATGAACGACTTTCATATAACTATATTACAGTATATAGCTATATCCCTAGGGATATAACTATACTATCATGGCTTTAACCATCTTACTGCGACATATACACTGCGCTCAGCATGGCATCCTATGAGTATTAGCTGGGCGAGTAGCAAGGCGAGTCCCTAATAGCTGGTTGCTTTTGGATTTCATGGATAAAAAAATCCATATCAAAATGCTCAATCTCCGTTTTTGTCAACGTTTGTCCACTCCACAAGAAAGCGCGCGATAAAATTTACAAGAAAATGGTAGCCCGTGTATCTAAAAGCACGCGGCTGACTCCCGCGCAACGAGCATTTTAACCAAGATCTGACAGCGCGCGTCTAACGCACTCTTGAATAGAAATTCGTGTTGATATGTGTACGGGCTAATCGATAACTGATGTAGATATCTATGGGCGACAGCATCCACTTACAAGTTAATGGACTGTATGCTTATTTGTCACCCTTACTCTATAAAAATGTATAAAAACCTACTCCACTATTAACAAAATAAAATTTTTGCAGTAATATTTTACGATTTTATTTCGTAGTGCTGAGCTCTCGCAACGCGGCGTACGTCCACCTAGCAACACGATGCGCCCCGCACTGAATTCGTGGACGAATGCGGGGGTGATATAGACGCAGTATTTAATCGGGACGCATTTTTAATTTATTATCATAAAAATAATACATATTTCTAAAAAGTAACCAAACCAAATTATTTTATTTTGTATTGCAAAGCAGTAGATATTTTTTTTATATTCCTTTGATAAACAATGAAGGAGTAAAGTGGTTTCATCTCAACGATTTGGAGGTGATTTGGGTATTTTTTTATTTATTATGTGACACCGATAGAAAAATTATGGCTAAACCAAATTACGTATCAGATCATGTAGATTACTAGCTATTTTTTTCATATGTAATTTCTCTGTAAGTGTCGACGAAAAGTTGGTTCATCTGCACGCTTTTTTCAAGCTTTTTGCGAGAGAGCAGCCTTAATAATAAATGCACTTTGTTCATTCATATTCAAAATTTCAAAACACTTTATACATAAACACCGTGTCGAAGACTGAGGAAAAGAAACGACGTTAGACCATCGTTAGACAATGCACGGCCTTCAAGCTACACCTCCGTGCCCGTTGGAGAGCGTGAGGTTTTTTTCGTTACGAAATTTCTGGATTTTCCCGCACTCAAGGCCCGCGATAGAAGCTATGCAATAGCTTTAAAAAAAATCAGTCAAGAATTCTGTTACGCTATAGTATGCTTTGATTGTCAAGAAGCTTCGAAGCCTTTTTTTAAATATCGATAGCGGCAATTCCTTTCCAACTTTTAGGTATTTTATCATATATGACTGGAGCCATGCAGTATATACTTTTGCGCATTAGTGCTGTCTTAGTGGATTGATGACACAAAAGGGTACTGTCGCGTCTATTACGTGGAACTACTTGGTGAAGGCGTTTAAAACGTTTTGGATGCAATTTAACAAACACAGCTTATTTTTTCCAATTTGAATTTATTTACATAACATTAAAATATATGCAATATTTAATAACATAATAAAAAATACAAAATTAAATTATCATACACTCCCACTCCCCATAGTATAGTGCAAAGAACACTAGCTGCGTTTTAATTTCTGCGTAATAAAAATTTGTTTGATAGTCCTTCATAATTTCTGGAACTTTTCTAAAAAAGTATACATTGCCCCATGAAGGAATCATTTCACTTTAAATTTAACCCTGCTTTAGGTAGGCCAAGAAACTTAAAGGCAAGCCCTTTTAAGTTTCCTCGCTTGCTTCAGAACTATTTGTCAGTAAACCCAGCAGTGTAACATTTTAAGATGCTATATCAATTTATACAATTTCAGGCCTAAAACCATTTTAGTAGCAGACATGGGTTGTGGTGAAGCAGCATTGTCGAAGCGGGTACCGCACAAAGTTCGTTCTTTCGATCTAGTGGCGGCGACAGACAACGTGGAGGCGTGTGACATGGCCCACACGCCATTACTGTCCGCTTCTGTCGATGTGGCGGTCTACTGCCTCGCACTAATGGGCACAGACCTCACGCAGTACCTTGTGGAAGCCAATCGAGTGCTAAAAGTTGGGTGAGTGCGTAAAATTTTACTATAAGGCGTATCATTTATACGTTTTGTACGTGTATTTACGCGTTTCTACGTGGTAGAACCACGCCGCAGCTATATTATAGTTGTAGCATGCATAGGTTGGCCAAACCGGGGCAAGAGCACACTCTCGAAGAATACTAATGTAAAATAGCAGCTTAATGCTGCTGTGTTTCATATGTGAGTGTAGAGATACAAAGACCCTTTTTACTGGAAACGAGGCATTCCATCTTAGTCCTCAGGTATTACAACGCATCTGCATTTTGATTCTTAATCGAGCATAAATTTAGATGTCTATGAACCACAGCATCTACTTACCATCAGGTAGACTGTGTGCTCGTTTGTAACTCTCATTCTATAAAATAAAAAACCTTTAATATTAAGCTCATCACATCAACTCTTTTGGCCTTATTCCAACACACGGATTTAATATAGTATTAGAGTTAGTACTAGGTTTAAAGCGTGAACCAAAATAAACGTTATTACAAAACGAAGGCTATCTCTAGTTCAAGAATTACTTGTGGTACCTTCCTGTGGTGGTGGTTAACCTTCCGAAACCTCTATTTTAACTATTTTAGCACCAATTTCGTTACAACTTCAATTGAGGTTAGCGTTGTTTTCATTTGGTGTTTTTAAAATCGTTAAAAGTAAAACCGTTGGTCCTGCGCCTAATCTCACTCTGCTCGAGTCGTATTAACGTCCCATTGGACTTGAGAGTGAGAGAATAGAGAGTGCACCTGTGCTTGCACAAACACTCTTGACACTATAATCCTGTCCTGCGCAGATGGCTGCTTGCCTCCGTTGAGGCTGGCCTCCGTGGCTGAAAATCGGTCTGGAAGACATTCTTACCATTAAACAGCCCTTCAAAGCCCACAACTGAACATAGACTTCCTCAAAGCAATCCCACTAAACAGTCTCAGGGCACCTTCATCCATTAACTTCCTGCATGTTCTACCACTCCATCTAAGGTTTTTTATGGTAAGGTCACTTACCATAAAAAAAAAACTTTTCTGATAATATTGACGTCTTTATTATCATCAAAACGAATGAGAAATGGTATAGTGGCTTAGCAATTAGTTTGAGCACTGGAGGCTGCGGGTCCGAATCCCGCACAAAAAAGTATTTGTACGGCCTATAAATAATTTTACTTGGTCTGGATGGTCTTCGAAATAAAGTCGCACTGATTTTCTTTTTGGGTCCTCCCAGAACAAAGGTTTTTTTTTTCTGAACAAGTGGTAAAAGTAAAAAATGTTTTTCAATAAATACTATAATTTAACTATATTGAATAAAAATCACTCTATTCGATGTTTATCCATGTGCAATTCTTGTTTGTAAACTGCCTCCATAGTACAGAAAAAAATATTAGCGTAATATTTTTTTTTCCACAGTGGGCACCTCCTCATAGCTGAAGTGGAGAGCCGTTTCGACGATGTGGAAGCTTTCGTTAAAGAAGTGCAGCGACTTGGTTTCAAACTGAAAGAACTAGACAAGAGTCATCAGGTGTTCTTTTTCATGGAGTTTACCAAAACGCAGGAGCCGCCTGTCAAGAAGTCAAAACTACCAGTACTGACACTAAAACCTTGTTTATATAAGAAAAGGTGAAATAAAATGCATAGTATATAGGTAGTTGTTTAATTTTGAAAACAAAGCCGTGATGGCTTTGAGTAATAAACGCTCAACCAGAATTTCGAGATGACTTCACTGTTTTCACAAATAAACCTTTATTTAAAAAAGTAAAAGAACTAATTAATTCTACATGCTGAAGTCTGTAATGACATAGTAATAATTTAAGACCCGACTCCAGATTGTGATTTTTTTTAATCTGAAGTTGCAATTACTTTTTATTAGAGATAAGTTGGGTAACCAGCGGATCCGGCAATGCCAAGTAGTTAAGAATAGTATACTAAATGTATTTAAAATTAATCATTTTTATTTAAGTCGCAGATAAAACAATATTAACCTCTGGTGAAAAAGCATTTTGAGTTTTTCTTTTCGATAATAAATATAAACAAGTCGTAAAATTAAAAATTTTGTACAATCGACTGTAATATTTAAATAAAATGAGAACATCCATGTAGTCGAAGTCAATTAAATACGCTTTATTAAGGATAACTCAAAAACTAGTGATCAAATCCACATTGGATCACATAAGAAGGCACCATCTTTAAAAAAAAAGAATCATTAAAATCGGTTCACCCAGAAAAGTTCTGAGGTAACAAAACATAAAAAAATACAGTCGAAACTCCTCCTTTTAGTAAGTCGGCTGATAAATGAATCTGATTTAAGCGAACAAACAATCCGGCTGAGGTCAAGTTCCCGCCAAAACTACTCGCCATTATTATTGCACGTATACCATGGAGGTTAGAGGAGAACGATCGCTGTAGAAAATAGTGTCTAGGGCATGCAATTCGGATATCCGGATATCCAAATTATTCGGATATTCGCCTCGTTTATTATTCGAATAGTATATTTATAATTATTCGGTTTTTACGAATATTTCGAATACTATCTTATTTTGATATTTTAAAATATCCGAACGTAAACCTACTAAGTTACGTGAAAAACATGCGTGGATCCGATTGTGGGTGATCATTCATCACGTAGCCAAAGCCGAAAATATGAAAAAAAAAAACTACTTAGCATGTATGCATAGTGCGAACGGTTTTACATTTCGTATCTTTGCGATATTGTTGTGAGTTGTGATGAATTTCAACAACAAATAATAGTATTTGGTTTGATCGAAATACCCAAGATAAACTTAGATGATAGGTAGGTAATCTACATTAACAATTACATTGCGCCGCTTTTTATTATTGATATTCCAAATGGTTCCCTCTTATCATCAATTATGCTTGGCCCATGGTATTCAGTGCGCTGTCCTGGACGTGCTATACAAAGCTGATAACACAGAAGGTAACACCGGCATCACTGTTAACAGACCTTGCGATAGCTCTGACTCTGAGGACGAAAGTGATATAGAGAACGAAGATGAAAATCGTTTTGTCATCGAAGCTGACCCCAGTGGGGTCATTCCCAAGCTGGTTTATAAAGAATTGATAACTAAAGTCCGGAAAATAGTAAAATTTCTCAAAGGTTCGCCTACTCGCATGGATATACTCAATTCTTACCTGGAGTCCAAATCTAAAGACACGACACTGATCCTCGATTGCAAGACTCGTTGGAGCAGCCTTGCTGATATGATAGCAAGATTTCTAGAATTCAAAGACGCAATTCAAAAGACATTAATTGATCTCAAAGAGAAGACTACCTTTTCAGATACTGAAATATTAATTTTGAAAGATATGTCTAGTTCTCTCAATTTCATAAAGGCCACAGTTGAAGAACTTTGCGAGCGAAAATCAAACTTACTAACCGCAGAAATTGCACTTCAATTCATGATGGAGAAATTGGCGATGAATCCAGACGTTATTAGTGGCCAGCTTAAAGAAGCTTTAAATAGAAGAATCTTGCAGAGGAGAAATGCTACATTGGTAAGTACGTTACAGTACTTACATAATCCTACAAAATATTATGACGAAAGGAATACTCCTCATGCATTTTCAAAGGCATCCCATGCGGAAATAATAGCCTTAATTGTAAAAATCAATGAGACTTATTTTTGCAAAGATAAAGCTGCTACAACTGTCTTTGAAGCTGAAGATGGCCTGCCTTTAAGAGAAATACAAAGACAGCAGCGCCTTGAAGATGAGAGGGAACAGGATACAGCCAAGACATTCAAGGAACAGTTAAAGACAAAAGATAATGAAACCTTGCACAATACTGCTGAGGTATCAACAAAACATTTGTCCGAAAACGATGACTTGGAAACGTCTGTCAGGGTGGAAATGGCGCTATTAGATCGAAGTGGCCCTAAAAGCATTCATCTACAACGTGTTTACGATTTTTTACTTACCATCCCACCTACAAGCGTTGAAGCAGAACGTGTATTTTCGGCTAATAGATATTTTTACAATCATTTGAGATGTTCATTCAATGACGATACGTTAGACGCCCTCAGTTTCCTGCGGTCATACTTTATGAACACAAGAAAGTAATTTATTGTATTTTTAATTAAGTGTGGATGATTAAAAAGGTTCCTAATTAAAATGTTTAAGTAATAATAATGTTTCTTTTCATAAACTTAAGCACTATTCGTAAAATTCGTATTATTCGAAGTATTCGGATATTTTTTATTCGGTTATTCGGAAAATCCGAATACCTTTTTTGGACGAATAATGCATGAAAAATAAGTGGGGCGCTGCGATCGCTAAGTTGTCTCAATAAAAGTAATTTTCAGTCTATTTTTCCGATCAAATGCTAAACCACTTGCACATCCACGCACAAAACAATATTTTACCATTTTTTGATATTTCTTTTTGTCAAAAACTAAAAAATTACGGAGCACGATTATTTTCTCAGCAATGCCGCGAATATTTGTACATTATTCAACTAACTTCATCTACTTGTACTCATAAATAGCTAACTTCGCAGATACTACTTACCGACCTATTTTCAGGGACCGGCGAGCTACGCTTTAGTACGTAGCGATCGTTCTCCTTCTCTCTAACCTCCATGACTTATACAAATGTTTTTTTGATGTAAAAAAACTTGTTTGTGTAAATAGCTATGCAGGTCTAAAAAGACCAGTATCACTGTAACCATCTATTGTGGTCACTGCTAAGCCCATTTCTTTAATGATTTTTTTTTAATTTATTAGAATCAACAAACAGTTTACACAATATTTATTAATCTAAAATACATTCACTACAAAAATATATTATAATAGTGCAACCAACACCGTTGACCACCAATTACTATTACCAAATGTTTAGATTGAGAATAGCGTACAACTTTTTCACATAATACAGTGATTGTGTTTTCAAATAACACAATAATAAAAATAAAAATAAAAATTATTGTAATAATCAATTATACAAACTCATTCTCCTCTAAGTACTGAAAGTAATTCTTTTTTATAAATACCCACCTTGTGAGCAAAAATGTCAATATTATTGAAAGTATTATTATAATAATATAACATCATACATATAGGGGATCTTTTACCTACGTTGGTTCGACATTTATTAATAAAAAATGTGTATTTGGCACGAACTCTGCGACACAATGGCCTATTTGGTACTCTGTATCGTATCATTTTAACTAGTTCTATACTATCGTACCTGTTATGACAAATATCATACAGTAACATAACTTGAATCTGTTGACGTCTTGATTCTAATTTTAGTAAGTTATATTCAACCAGCAGTTGATAGTAGGGTAATTTAACTCGTCTGCACTTGTAATTTACACTACGCAAAAACTTTTTCTGAATGGATTCTATTTTATCTATATATTTATTATAATACGGACACCAAATAGCTACCGCATATTCCAGTATATAGAGGTGCAAATAAGTCAGAGGTTTTTTAAATTCACTTCCAATACGCATCACGAATCCATACATTTTAAGAGCCTTATTAATGACATTTTCAACATGTGTATCAAAGATAAGTTTACTATCTAATATTATTCCTAAATCTTTAATTTTATAAACTTTTAATGGAAGTCCACATAAAGAATAATTGAAATTACTTAACTGTCGCTTACGGGTAAACGTTATGGCTTTACATTTATTAACACTCAAATCTAACTTATTGTTTTTACAGTAAGTTGTAAAATTATCTAAATCTTTTTGAAAGTTAAGATGGTCATGATAATATTGAATTTTGCGATAAATTTTAATATCATCTGCGTACAGAATAAAATTACAAAACTTGAAACAACTATTAACATCATTAATGTACAGGACGAAAAGAAGAGGCCCTAAGATTGATCCTTGTGGCACACCAGAACTTATATGCACAATATCTGACTCAAAACCTCTTATAACTACTTTTTGTGTACGATTTGTCACATACGACTTAAACCATCTCCACAAGTTACCACGGATACCATTAAAGGCCAGCTTTTCCAGAAGTAGTTTATGGTCTACGCGATCGAAAGCTTTGCGGAAATCTGTGTATATGCAATCAGTCTGGACGTTACTATCCAGATTCTCAAATAAGTAGTTTGTATAAATTAATAAGTTAGATATAGTCGAACGCTTCTTAATAAAACCGTGAATGAATTGAAGGGCTTGCTCAGCTCTCAGCAGTTTCACTTCTGGACTCTACATACATAGTTGTGTCTCGCCAGCAATGCAGTCCCAGGAATTTACATTAAGAAAAAAATTAAGGGCTTTTAAAGGGATCAGGGTCATAACCTATTTTCAACTGCAGACATTCTGGTGTGTCTTCGCAAAAAGGAGTGTTTTTTTTTTTTGGAACTCTTTGGCAAATTCTTCAGACAATGCACGAAACTATTTGAATCTGCCACAAAAGGGTGCAAGTAAAAGTTTATAACACTTATGCAAAGCCTTCAAAGGCTGTCTGGATTTTGGAGCATCAACCACCAACTATGTAATTGTGCCGAGTTGTTTTCCAAGGTAGGTATCGTTTGATCCGAGGCTTTTAGTTTCAGTTTATTTCCTTTTTATCAGAAGTTAATTTTGATGGTCCTGGTAAACTACGATCCTTTTCCTCTATCTGTTTAGGTTATTCCTGTATCCTTCTTAACCTTTTTAGCTTTAGCAAGCTCTTCTGCTTCTTCAATTGATATAGATTTACCAGGTACGACTGTAATTTTGCCTGTTACCATTAACTGTGATCATCTGTTTCACTGTAAGAACCCCAGAAGGCTGGCATCAAACTGACGAGTATTTTCTACTTGTACTGTTGGTATTTTGATGTCACTCTTGAGGGATTAAAAGGAAATATTCCAGATCCTTCATGTCCATCAAATCCTTTACGTGTGTTGGTCTCTTTTGTCATGTCTATTTTATTCATTAAAGCAGTAGCTCCGGCAGTAGCTGTGGGAAATCAAGGTAGTGATGACCCTAGACCCAGGCAAAGTTGTGTCACTCAAGTTTTCATAACAGTGCACAACATTGCCTACTTAATTATTTTGATAAAATTGAACCTTTATAGAAATGTTTATAGAAATACATATTAAACATTGCAAATAATGGACAGTATTTTCTTTCTCTGAGCCGTAATTTCTGCACAAAAACTCTTTTCCCGTAACTAAAAATGATGAAATGAAGTTGCAGGACACAAAAAAAATCCACCCACTTGCACTGGTTTTCGTCGCACAACTGGCAGAGGAACTGTGGAGTTACCATCATAAAATATTAAAAATATTGCCCTAATGATGGAAGTTTACTACCAAATGGTAAAAAAAGAGAAACATATAAGCAAACACGAAATATCATAATTTAAACAAAATAGGCAAATTTTGTTTAAATTATGATATTACGGGCTTTGTTGGCAAAGTTGCATCATTTTACGGTGCTCTAAAATTTTCACCGCAACGAACTGTTGATATATGCGTTTCCGGCAATACGTATCGCAACGCAGTGACGATCATAGATATACGATAAATATTAATAGCAAAGAATTAAGTGCTGAAAGATTATTGAGGTAGGATGTAAATGACTGTAATATTCTGGGAATTTTTGGGTCCAGGACCAACATTACCTTACTATAAGGTATGAACGGCGGAACGGAATTTTTTTGTTCTTTATTAGTAACATATAGATAAGATACGTGTACGATAAGATCTTTTTGTACGTGGTAGAGCCATGCTGCAGTTATATTAGTAGTACAGTTGTAGCACGAATGGGTCGGCTCGACCGGGAAGGGACCACGCTCTCACAGAATACCAGCGTGAAATAGTAGCTTAAGACGAGGTCTTAGCACGATTTCAAATTCGTTTTCCACCCTCGCGTCCCGCAGTGGGCGTAGCGAAACCGGCAGTCGGACAGCGCAGCGTGAACACAGTATTCGCAAAGCAAGCAGACAATTCACCTCCAAACAAAAACTTTTCCGTGAGGTCTCCTGTTCGCAACACTACTAGGTATTATAGTAATAATATTTTGAGTACCTACTCACTAATATCAAAACTGTTTACAATATCGGTAGTCTGGATATCATACTACATTTTAATTATCAATATTTTTTTAGTCAGTTTTATGATATGAGCAGGTACTAAGTCAACTATTTACATACATTTAAAACGCCAACTCACAAATTCTAAAAAAACCCAAGTTTCGTTGGCAAAATAGCTAAAATAAGAGAAAAAGAATAGTTTCAAATAAAACCATTAGAAAATTCAAATTTATTTTACTGTTTTCTATTACCTTACCTCCGGACTTGATGTACTTTGGTAATCGGTATTGGAACAGGTCGCCGAGTACTACCAGGTGTGCCGAGTTTGGTCTCGTTTTGTTAGGTATGACGAGCCCTTACCTCCGGACTTGATGGAGTGACCTGAAGGTGTACTTTGGCAATCGGCATTGGAACAGGTCGCTGAGTACTACCAGGTGTGCCGAGTTTGGTCTCGTTTTGTTAGGTATGACGAGCCCTTACCTCTGGACTTGACGGAGTGACCTGAAGGTGTACTTTGGTACTCGCTATTGGAACTAGTCGCCGAGTACTACTAGGTGTGTCGAGTTTGGGCTCTGTAGTGTAGTGCTCCCACGTTAATATACTTTAGTGTTAAAGTAGAATAATGAGCAGTCTAATTAAAGTAGTAGTACCAACCACACGTCTCCTTCATTGACACGTTTCCTATATTACATGGCGACCCTGCAAAGTTAAAAGGTGGGAAGAAAAAAAATATTTAATACTAATACAAAGAAAAATTTATATACGGAATGGATGCAATACCGGATTTGACAACAATAAATAAGCCGCCGTGACTGAAATTCGGTCTGGAGGACATTACATACATTACATCAAGGCACTCGGACCACGCTTAGCCCAAAAATATAGGTATAAATGGAAATTTGTGAAGCAAGTGACAGGTGGAAAGCCCATTGGACACGCAATCACAAACCAAATATCAATAACATGCTAGATATTCGTTCCACGATTGAAAAGGGAAAGAAGTAGTTGTATTCTAGCGGTCATCACCCAGAAGGATGTCAAAATTGAGCCGAAAAGAATAAAGAAGGATT